AGGGAGGGGAAAGAATGAGGAGCTTATACCAAGGGCTCAAGTAGAAAGAAAATGTTTTGAGAATGACGATGGCAACAAATGTCCAAATGTGCTTGACACAATGGATGTATGTATGGATTGTGGTAAAAGTTGTACAAGCCCCCAGTAAAATAATTTATAAAATTAAAAACCTTCAGTTATATTGATTGCCCCCTGCTCCCTTTATCTCTTTACTAAGTCTCATTTAAGTCTGGAACCATGAGCACATGGCTGTAGTTGAAAGCATTTGCTTTGAGGTTAATTCAGATAAGAGGGAGGCAAAATCTTGGAAGACCATGTAAACTAGACTTAATGACTCATCTGTATTTAGCCATGTTGTTTGTGAATGTTGATAGGGTGAAAGTTAAGTCAACTAGGCATGGCACTGTGTGGTCAATGGGACAACCCAGGAATCATTCGTGGCTGTTATGCTTGAACAGATCAGAGTCTTAGAGAGTGATATTCACCTTTTTTTGGCCACTTCAAGACTGACTCAGTTTCATCATAGCTGAAGAGAGACAAATCAAGATAGGGCCTTGCACTCTGTCCCAGCACTTAAGGAGAGCTGCCCCAGCAGCTCTCACAGAACCTCTGTGTGTACTCCACACTTGGCGTAGTGCTTTAGAATCGGCATTGACTTCACTTTACAAAGTTCTTGTTTGGGGACTGAGCAGGGAAACCGGACTTCACGGAGCAAGGTAGCAGATCACAGAAGTCCTAAAAAGAGTTTCATTTGATGTATTTTCAGGCACAGTAATCCCTTTTGTTGTTACAATACTTCACATAATCAAGAAGTTGCCAGTTATGAATCTCCTGTAAAAACTTTACTGTGCACTTGAAAAACAGATGGTTTTCATCCAAGAACTGCATTTCCCACATGTACAGTGGCTCCAACAAAACAAAGCGAGACAACCACCACAAAAGAATTTCCATGGGCTCAATCCAAACCTTTCATGGAGTTCCGATGCTGTAAATCTTTCTAAGAGCGGATGGCCTCATCATTCTTCTGCAGAACATCTGATGGGTTAGCTGTCCAAAGGTTGCCTAAAAGTACCCCCAGGACAATTACAAAAGAAGCGCCTTTTAGACATTGCATTATCATGCTACTCTTCTCTAGACGTACATCAGCAGCTGGTGTTTCACGGGGAGAATGAGAGGAGTCCTAAAGGGATTGGCTTATCTGACTATCTCCTTGTTCCTCAAGGAAAACAGCTGACCCAGAGTAGGTCATCCTCATTGCAGGAGCAACCAGTGGCCTGCCCCTCAATGCAAGTGCCTTCAGGGCTCACCTGAACTATGTAGACAGTCTGCTTTTGTACTGAAAAGATGGTCAAGATGCTCTTGGACAGTATCGCCCTTGGTTGTAGGACTGGAACACACAAAGGGATAGTGTGATGGTCAATGATATGGAAGAAACAGTTCTCTAGAGATGGCAGTAGGTTG